TGGTTTATCATCTCCAAGCTAAGCTGGACATCTAAATGCTTATTTAAGTTTGCCACAGCCAGATTTCCCATGCATCTAGATTTTGGGAATAGACATTAAAGCTTTGTTGTTGCAGAAAATCCGGCTAAACCTAATACCTCAGTGTGCCTCTAATGTTTGTAATGTTAAGGATGATATGAATGCTCGCCATTACAATAGCCATGACTGTAATTACACTTATGCAGATTTCAACGAACCTCCTCAACGAAGTGGAACAGAGTGTTTCTTTTGCAAGAGGGATCTTTCATTCACACCAGAAGCCGATTGCCCCATTTCCCAGCCAAGTATTCCTCCATCTGTTGCAGTTTTGCCATGCGGCCACTACTTCCACATTCGCTGCCTGAAGATTCACTCCTCCAGAGAAGTCTACAGATCCTCCTTGCTTTCTTTGTGACCTTGATGAGAATGCATCCTGAAGACCAATCTTTTCTCAGGTTTTTCTCTTCCATTTTTTATCTCTAATCTTAGTAGCATCAGTCAGAATATAGGAGGGAATCGGAAATGAATATTTTTTCATAGAATATAGCATCAGTCAGGATTGAAGTAGATAAAGGTTGAATATCACTGTACATAGCAAGTCAGTCTGATTCATATGATGAATAGGCTTCAAAGCAGAGTTAGAAAATTAGCAAGTGTATATAATAGTTTACACATTTTGAAGCGGGATTTAACCATTTCATTCAAATTCAGAAATTTATATCAGATTTCTTTACTATGTATTGGCTTACACAGATTTAAATGTGTTTATAATGTTTGATTTCTCTTAAATATTTAAATATGTTTTGGGTGAAAGATGTTTACGCGAAACCAATTGTAAATCTATAGGAGCCTGGACTCAAAACAAATAATATTTATATATTTTGCTGGGGTTGAGATGTTAGAATCAGAATCATACACAATTTTTAAGGAAGGTTTTCTTATGACTTTATAGATGTGAAAATTACATCAAATTTATTTGAAAGAGGTAGGTTTAGTCCAATTAAACATTATATTCCTTCAGCTTGTTGCACCTAATTAAATTAAATTATATTTTAGAATCCACCCTTTTATTTAGTACTGTATAATCGATGATTGGATAACAAAACAATAACAAATCCTATATAGAATATTATATTAATTAAGTCTATCTATTAATAACGAGTAATGCTATGCTTACTCACAATCTTACTAATTATCTTACAATCTTGAAAAATATAACGGCATAGTACGGGTACCATATGCATAGTACCCGTACTATACCGTTATATTTATCAGGATAGTAAGATTGTGAGTAAGCATAGTTTTATCTATTAATAACATCATAAAGGTAATATTGAGCTAATAATATGCATTTGATTTAAGGTTGTGGAGCTAGTTAATCATATTGGTTATGTTATTAGTTAGTATTATTATTTTGAATCAATATCAACATTTATTACTTATTAATATAATGATATTATCCAATCATAAACATAAACAAAATATAAATAATATATTTATTTTGGGGATTTATTGCTAAGTGTTATTTCTTTTATTGATATAAAGGAACAATTTTTTTGCACTAATGAAACTCTTTTGGACATTTCAATTATTGAAACAAAAATGTGTTATTATTATTAGTTTACCGTCGACTTGTTCGGGTCAGTTTGTGTGTACCTCAATTAATCCTTCGGTGTCTTAGAATTGTCAGTTGGATAAAAGCCTCGATAGTCACCTCTATTAGAGTCTGGAGAAACTCAAACTCAATAACTCATAGAATAGTTTTTTACTCTTTTGCCATCATATTATATAATGGTGGTTTTTAAAAATTTGTATATATATAAAATGGAGTCATAATGAGATTAACTAATTTTATTATTACAAGGAGACTATAACTTAATAAAAATGTCGTTACAAAAATTAAAATTATTATTTTGATTTCCTTTTTTTTTATTACCGGTGGTGTCCGCGTCAGCTTATATGTACCTTAACTAGTTTCCTATCCCCGAACAAGGCTTCCAAAACAGGGCAAGCCCCCGGTCCATGGCCAACAATATTAGCAACCATTCTTGTGATTTGAACCTAAGACCACAGGGAGAGCAAACATCTTGGTCTCAAGCCTTTACCACTCGGCCAACCCATTGTTGGTTTTTTATTTCTTATTTTATGTTATGTTTTAGTATTGTTGGTTTTTTATTTCTTATTTTATGTTATGTTTTAGTAATATAGTATTAGAATTTCAATTCATATTTTAGTAGTATCGAGATTTTAATTTAGCGCTTCAATTGCCTACTTTTAAAACAGATAAAAGATCGTGTCTTGGAATCAGCAAAGATAAGTGTCATTGATGGAACTGTAAATACAGTTGATATATGGTCAATTGATATGAAACCACAAACAATTGCCAATGGTTTTAACCACTGCAAAATTAGGACACTCGATATCAATGAATTGCAAGTTACAAATAAAGTGGATGAGGAGAATAAAATAGTCATGACGGAATTAATTTCTTCATCGATCATCCAAATGAGCAACAAATCGTGTATGCTTTAACTAAAGAAGAAATCATTGTTGCAATAAGACAAGAAGAGAAAGGAAATAATCTTGAGGATGATAGTATGAAAATACAAAAATTTGCATGCCATGAAGCTCTAAACGTGCTTGAGAAGCTAAAAAGATTTTGGCTTTAACAAGAAGGTGTCCATGCTAGCGAGTTATTACGGACTCGCAAGTTAAAATATGTGGTAACAACTTTAAAGCATAAATCATTGTCCCAAACAATTTTAGATAATTATTTTATTTCATTTTAAATCTTTAATATAATATAATATATATTTTTTGTAATATACAGATAATTATTACTATATGGACGAGGCAACTTTCTTTAAGACGAGAATTAAAAAATTATAATTTATTACAATATAAAGTTTATTCTTATCCATGACTATCCTAAATTGGGACTAAATTTTTTTATAATTATATAGAGTTTATTCTTATATAGAATATCACTATAAAGGGATTTTACTGTATATAAACTTCCGTGGCTCCCAAGGTTTTGTTTGTAAGTTTAAGTAATTTGCTGAATCCAAAAGGTCTAAAAATTTATATTTTCAAGAAAAGAAAATACTGACTTGCGATATGTTTCTTCATTCTTGCCTTCTTGGACTCTGCCTACCTAATAATGTTTGGACAAATAAATCAAGACAAAAATAATTAAACAATTAATAAACAACAAATATACACACGCCTTAAATAAAAACAAATATATTAAATAATGTTCGGTTGATATCACATTGGAGGAGGTGTATTGGAAACTAATGCATTTTGATACTTCTGGTAAAATAGCCAATTATTCATTTGAATGACCAAAATACCCTTATCATAAATTTTATGTAATCTACTTCTGTTCCTTTCAAAACCAAAATCCGATTAATGGTCATGAATAAAACCCAATCACTAATACAATTATCTCTACAATAATCAAATTATTATTTAATTAAACAAAGAAAAGAGAAAATAAATATACAAGTAATAAATTTTTATTGGATGAATGTACAAATTATATAATAAGTTTGTCTTATAAATGATTTTTCTTTGTAAATTTGTCTAATATTTTATCGATCATCATTTACTCTCCTTGTAAATATTAAAGCTATATCTAACATATTTTACAATATCATTACATAAATGGATCATTTGGCTGTATAAACAAAAATGATTGAAAGTGGTTATTTTCCAAAACATGAAATAAAAAAATGATTGAAACTTGCCTTTTTTTTTAAAAAAAGAAAAAAAAAAAAAANAATTATATAGAGTTTATTCTTATATAGAATATCACTATAAAGGGATTTTACTGTATATAAACTTCCGTGGCTCCCAAGGTTTTGTTTGTAAGTTTAAGTAATTTGCTGAATCCAAAAGGTCTAAAAATTTATATTTTCAAGAAAAGAAAATACTGACTTGCGATATGTTTCTTCATTCTTGCCTTCTTGGACTCTGCCTACCTAATAATGTTTGGACAAATAAATCAAGACAAAAATAATTAAACAATTAATAAACAACAAATATACACACGCCTTAAATAAAAACAAATATATTAAATAATGTTCGGTTGATATCACATTGGAGGAGGTGTATTGGAAACTAATGCATTTTGATACTTCTGGTAAAATAGCCAATTATTCATTTGAATGACCAAAATACCCTTATCATAAATTTTATGTAATCTACTTCTGTTCCTTTCAAAACCAAAATCCGATTAATGGTCATGAATAAAACCCAATCACTAATATAATTATCTCTACAATAATCAAATTATTATTTAATTAAACAAAGAAAAGAGAAAATAAATATACAAGTAATAAATTTTTATTGGATGAATGTACAAATTATATAATAAGTTTGTCTTATAAATGATTTTTCTTTGTAAATTTGTCTAATATTTTATCGATCATCATTTACTCTCCTTGTAAATATTAAAGCTATATCTAACATATTTTACAATATCATTACATAAATGGATCATTTGGCTGTATAAACAAAAATGATTGAAAGTGGTTATTTTCCAAAACATGAAATAAAAAAATGATTGAAACTTGCCTTTTTTTTTAAAAAAAGAAAAAAAAAAAAAAAGAAAATGCAGAGAAACTGCAAATTGGATAGGGCCCATGAAGAGAAGCAAGCAAAGAGACGATTAGTAGACATAAAATCTTCCACCAAAACGCAAAATCGTAGCCGTTAAAATAAAAACTTGCAGGTCCCGCCACGCATATGACAACAAACACATTTCATTTCACAACAATTCCTACTATTTATCTTCTTCCTTCCTCCTCTTCTTCTTCATTGTTTGGAACGTGCTACACAACAACTTCAAAAAGCTTACAGCTTCCCTTCTTTATTCACCAAAAAAAAAAGCTCTTTTTTGAAAATAAAGCAATAATCTTGAAAGAATTTTTGTGGGTTTGTTAATTCTTCACTCCTTGATTTGCTTTTGGTTCAATGGAGAAAGAGAATTCGGATGTGAAGAAGACTGATGTGGCTTTGACTGGATTCTCTCCGGCTTCCACACCTAGGATTTTCTGGAAGTCAAGAAAGAGATCAGGTATAGATAGTACTAATTTTCGGTTCTGTCTGTTAATTTTCTGTTTGGTTCCCGCGAAAATTGACAGAAGATATAGATAAAATTGTTAACTTGAGCTTGGTTTAAGTTCTTTGCTTGATTCTAAACATACCCTTTTCATGTTTAATCAGGTCAAAGCCTAGAAATTCCATAATTTTTGCATTCTTCCAGAAGATCTCTTCAAAGATAGCATTTTTTTAGCTGAATTTTAATTAACCTATTCACCAGAAAAGCAAATTTTCAGTTTTTTTTTTCTCTTTGTTTACTAATTTTTTTTAATTATTTTGCAAAATTTATCAACCACCATAACCAACTGGTCCATCTCCAAAATTTTGATTTGTTGGAGAAAGAGAGAAAGAAGAATAGTGATATGACTTGCGGAGTTGCGGTTGCTTTACTTTTACGCTGTTTTACTGGGTTTGGTAACACTCTGGTTGGCTAATTAATCACTGTCATTCTCATTTTTTGTCTGTTTCTTTTTCTTTTTTATCCTTTTTGGTTTTCGTATTACTTTACCTTTTCATTTCATTTCAAACCCAAATAAATAGAATCCCTTTTAAAAAAATAACTGGGTATTTTTGTTTATACCTTATCTTCTTCTGTTTCACGTTTTCAATTTCCTAATTACCCTTACATGTTTTGACTTTGAACGGCTGCTTTACGGAGAATGCTGCTGCACTCAAAATCTTTTTATAATCCATTGAGCAAAATGTCATCAATGATGCTTACCTAATGGTTAGATTGGCAGGTGAAACAAGTCTTTATGTTTTTTAATTCAGAAACGTTTAGATTGACATTTAAAAAAATAATATCTTTAATGTCACTCCAATGGTTGATGGCATTTCACTATTGAATATCTGTTTGTTTAATAAAATAGTACATAATCTGCAGAATTATTTCCGAATTAGAGGGGAAATCTGAAAATTTTAATTCAAGTTTTTGACCTCGGTGGTGGTATTAATATCTTATATGACAAATACGTGGTCATGGGTGGGTTGACTCCATGTGTGAATGAAGTTTGAGAGCAGGATATGCAACTAAGAATTGCCTTAAGGGAAAAAGCTATCGGTTTAGTTAGGGCTGTAACTGTAAGCAAGCCCAGTTGAATTGCATTTTATCTAAGTTGTTTTGAATATTACCTCGAGTTTGACATGGTTGTTGCTTGAGTTTAAATGAGGTTTTAACCAATGAGGGCTTAGCAGAATGGTCAGAGCCACAAGGTTCGAGCCCCCTAGTAGGTATCTGCATAGCCAAAAGAAAAATGCTACAGACACCGAATGCTGGTGCCGAAATTTTGTACCGATCTATGTGGCATCTGACTCGGACATGCCACGTAAGACACAACACAAGTATTCAATGAATGAACAGCCGTCCAATAATTATGGACGACCGTTCATCACAAACAGATGAGAGTCCAGAAAATATCAATGGACTCCCGTCCATATATTATGGACAGGGGTCCCTTTACTATGGATAATGGTTCATATAATTTTAGATGAAATATTCATTTTTTAAGCACAAATTTTTTAGATAAAATAAAAGGAAAAAAAAAAAAAAAACCTTTGATTTGAAGTAAAAGTGTGGACGTCAGTCCATCTTAATATGGACGACCATCCAAATGAGTGGACTAGCGTCCATTCTCAAATAATTTTTTTTTTTTAATTTTCAAATTTTTTTTTTTGTTTCATTTATAAACAAAATGCAATGTAAGAGAGAAATAAAACATGTTTTTTAAAACTTGCTTTGGGAGGCCTAAATTTTTAAACATTCTAATTGAAAATTTTAAAGAAATTTTTTTATTAAACTAAAATTTGGGTATGGACGGCGGTCCATCTTACATAGACAGCTGTCCATATAAGATGGATGTCTGTCCATTATTTGTTTTTAAACTTTTCTGGACGGGCGTCCATATATGAATGAGAATCCATTGATATTGTCGTGGACGATCGTCCATTTGTGATGAACGGTAGTCCATAACGTATGGACGATCTTCCGTGTAAGATGGACGGTCGTTCATTCACAGAATTAGTATTTTCTTTCCAACGTGACCGCGTCTTAGTGGATGTCACGTTGTTCGGTAAAAAATTTCAGTGCACAAATTCGGTGTCCGTAGCATTATTGTAGCCAAAAACCATTGTTTCTCATTTCCTAAAGACTATTTATTAATGCATTGTGCGATTATACTCTGCCTAAAGTCCGGTTAAAGACATTATAAATAGTGTTTAATGAGTTCTATGGTATTAACACTTCTATAGAATAAAATGTTTCATCATTAAAAATCTGGATAGCCTAGCATGGCGATTTATGCAAGTTTGATTCTGGATTGATCTTTCCTATGATTTTTCTTAATGTTTAAAAATGTGAAGTGCAAGTGTTTTTAAACACTGGTATGTTTAGATTGCCATGTCTCTGAAAGTGTTTTGGAGTTAGAATGGTAACTTCTTTCTAACAGCTAGCGGGAGGAGTTTAGACATAACAGAGGACACTGCTAATGAAACCCCCGCCAAAGAGAGAGAAACTTCCGAAACAGAAAAGGAACTGGAGCCAATTCCAGACACCATGCTTTCTGAGCGTCGGAAGGCTCTCTTCGAACCACTGGACCCTACAAATGGCCGCCGGTCATCTGCTGAAACCTTGCTACCCCCACCAGACTTTGACGCTTCTTGCTATCCCAAGGGCTGGCTGATTGGAAAGAAGCGGAAGCTTGTAAATGTGGATGTTGTAGAGAGCATGCGACGGGTTGCTGTCCAAGAAATGAATAGAAAGGTACTCTTCAAACACACACATTGCTACTATTGCTTTAAGATTCATAGAATGTATCATCAATTTGACCAATCTTGCAGGACCGGGAAATCAATGGCCTAAACGAGCAACTCGAAGAGGATGCGCGTTGTCTCGAACATCTACAACTCCAGCTTCTGCAAGAGCGGAGCAAACGTGCAGAGGTCGAGAGGGAAAACACAATGCTGCAAGATCAGATAAACATGCTGATGAACATGTTGCAGGAAAACGAGGCAATGGAAGACGAGGGCACAGAGGAACCTTGATCATGATAGTTTGTTTGATTGTATGTCTGTTTGTTTATTCTTTTGTAGAATTGTTTGGTTAAGTATAGAGAGCAAAATCATACATGCATATAATATTCTTAGCTGACAAAAAAAAAAAAAAAAAAACATGGAGTCAAAGATAAATTAGGTCGTCATTGTAGCTTGTTTTGTTGCTGCAGATGCCTTGCTTATGCTTGTTATTGTCTGTAATCGAGTGTCTGGAAGGTATTTTTCTAAATAATGTGCTTGTAATATCAGAAGAATTTTCTATTTATTTGTCATTGGCTCTCCATAAACTGTGTTTGACAGTTCAAAACAAGGTTTACATCAAGGTATAGTATTTCTAAAAATCACTGAAATGAGTAGATTTGATCAAAAAGAACACAGAATGTTTTCCAAGAACAACTGGAATTCGGATTTTCGCTAAAATTTTGCACAATTCATATCCATGGAATCCCAATGAAGGTAAATCCATTAGATCACAGAGAGAAGAGGCAATGTGTTTCGAGAACTGGTGGAAGAAGGATTTTCTGCTAATATTTACAGATGTAATCTAAAGCGTAGTACAAACACTAGGTTCACTTACGAACATGTGAGGAGTCTTCATCAATCTGCATCTCTGAATCCAATACAAGATTGTTAAACAACTCGCAAATGTCATATTCACATACATATAATGAAGACTACCTTTAAGCTCTGTGTAGATGGGGGCTGTGGATGAAGATCACACTATCTTTCTTCATTAGAATCTTCAGAGAAGTTCAACATAACTTGTGGGAGAGATGCGATCCTTGGAAGACTGTGCAGCAGTTCTGCAACTGAGTCTTTCCTCGACATGGCTGGTTGCTGCTTGCGGCCAGAAACATTGCTTGACTCACCCTCTGATGCACCAAAACCTTGTCCAACCTTGTCCAACCTCGCTGAGGGGAATCCTGAGTTGGTTTCAGCTAACTTTGTGACACCATTTATTTCAATACCTATACTACTCTTGTCCTGCAAGTTTTGTGTTGCTGCAGAATCTTTCTGCAGAAGGCAGCAAAGCGAATTGACCCTTGACATTATGGACTTCTCATCAGAGGTTGATGTAAGTTGAGTGTCACTAAACAAGTATTGAGTAATCTCCTCCAGAACGTCTCTTCCTTGTAGGTCATTGCCAAAAATCAAGGAACCACCAGATGTCCTCTGTTCCGAAATGCAATGCCCAATGTGATTCACCAGATCACTCATAGACATAGATGGGTGGAGTCCAGGAACTTTGATCTGGTCCCAATGGCTGAGCATCTTTGGTTCCTCGGCTCCACTGCTACTGATTTCTCCAGTTGCACAAGTATCCATCACTGCAAAAAGATACAACTTAGACCAGAAATAGTTTCAAGATAAATTATCATAGAAGTTAATCCCATAAAAATAGCAAATAGCAAACAGCGATTCAATGGATACATCATACATGCTATCAAAGATCAATTCCCAGGAACTAATTTAGTAATACAAAATATACTGAGGATGAGTCAACCAGAGTAGGAACTCTTTTCAGTCCGCAACAAGAAGAAGACTATGTCCAAGAATACTGATGAGAGCTTGATGTGAAAAGCTAAACAGAGAACCATAGTAATTTGACTATGGGAAATTATCATATAAAAAACAGACATTCAACTTGAAAATGAATACTTTGGTATTTGTTATCATCTATTTCAGCATATTTTGCAATTTCAGGATCATTGTCCTACCTGAGCTAGGTGATCGATTCATGAAATCTTGTGGTTCAACATTAGAAGATGATGACTGAGCACCAGATGGTGATGCCCCATCCAGCAAATCAAATAAAACAGGTCGTTCCTCCCTCTTTAAATGGCTGGAAACATCTGGTTCATCAAAGGCTGGAGCTCTAGGTTCAAAATATGGAGAATCTACTACAATTTCTGGCTGTTGACTCAGGAAATTGAGACGAGGATCACATTGTATGAGCTTTTCAAAGTGCTTCGCAAGAAAGCCTTGTGGGCACATCAGGAAATGCTGCCTATTTAAGTAAAAACAGTGTCATTGCCACATGTTAAAAATTAATTCAAAATAAAGTTTGAATTAAATAAAGAGATGGCAAAAGTAATATACACTTAGACTCGAAACTCATATCTCTACCTGTGAATGCTTGCTTGTCCACCAGTAAAATCTGATGTTGCCTGCCATAAAGTATGCTTCCTGGGTTGTGGATTTGTCTCCCTAAAGAAAAGAGGCTGTCTAGCCAGCTGCATCAAACAAGAACATCCTTCAATCATTAATAACTAAAACGTAAACATAAACATGCTTTTCAGCTTTGCATGAGCCAAAAAGATGACAAAAAATTTCTAATCATTATCTTGTACACCTCGAGCTTATTTAAGGCATTAAACTTGTATTTCTTCTACGAAACGGAAGTCACCATAAGGAACCAGAAGGATAATATATGAACATATAATGGGAACATCCTTAAGTGCCCTGTAATTCTTCCTCTTAAGTCTCATAAATAACTTCAAAAAGAGGAAAACAACACAACAGGTAACTCTTTTAGGCAAGTTTCAGTTCTACAAATTCTCAAAAAAGTTTTACACATGTGAAAGGCAAATTCAGAACAAACCGAATATTTTAGAACTGATTTCCGATGAATTCCGAAATTAATAAGACTTGCACCATTATAGTTATAGTGAGAGTTTCGAGAATTATTCCCCTTTTTTGTACACAAAATTATCAGTGTGAGTGCATATGCATATGCATATAAATACAGCCAAAAGGCATAAAACAACAACAGAAACAAAGTAAAATTACCACGACATCCAAAGTCTCAGGTCCATCATCAGAATAAGTTGCCTTGATCGCCACGATATCTGACCACTGAATTTCAATCTTGTTCTTCAAACCGCCATCAAGCACTTCCCACACTAGCTTATGCTTCGCAAAGTAACATTTCCCCACCAAGTCTCCCTCGTATCTCGACTTATACTGCACAAACCAACATTCAATCGCAAATTTCAACCATCTAAATTAGCTACTGATAATTAATGATCCCCTAGAAGTCCTTAAATTCATTATCACCCAAATACTTTCAAAAACTATAAATTAAAATAAAAAATAAACCTGAAACGTTACTTTTATTAGTTTATTCAATTATACCTCCCAAGTTCCGATCCTGAGAAGCGAAGCTGGAAAATTAGAAGCTTTTAGCTTATCATTCGAAGCTGAAACGACACTTCCTTTAGACTTTCGCTTCCTCAAATTTGCGTTTTCTTCCGAAAGCTTCATTTGAATCAAATCCAAAAACGACGGACTCTTCTTAAGATTTAACCCCAACGGACTCGGCTCTTCGAGTGGATTGCACATGGAAGGTGGAAGCGGAAACGGCGACGTGTTAAACTCACATTCCTGAATATAAAAATAAATCAAATTGAATTCCAAATCAAAACATAAAATTTTGAAATTAAAAATTATAAAAGCAAAATAAGGAATTACTTGTTTGAGTTTGGATCGTTTGTGAAGCGGACCGAGCTGGTCCGCCAACGAGTCGTCGAGCTCTAACTTCACAGCAGCCGATTTTTTCGCCGAATTCATCGACTGAACCATTTCAATTAATCGCCGATATTAATTTTTTTTGGTCAATTATCCGAACAGAATATGAAAATTCTTTCTCTAAAGCTTTTGCCTCTTCAGTGAGAAAGTTTTGTTTGTTTTAAACAAGTGGGAGGGGACGCACGTGCCTAACGGAATTGCCACGTGTTCTGTCTTGAACATGAAGAGAAGCTTCGCTGTACTGTGGCAAGGTGAATTTACGATAATATTATTTGTCTTATTTGATGATTGCGCACGGTGAGGGGCGTTTATGTCTTTTGAGGGATGATAAGGATGATGACGTGGGAGTAGAGGTGTCACGTGAGGGCACGTGAAAAAGATTTTGGATAAAGTGTGGGACCCGGTTCGCGAAGAGTCTGAGGCGGGTGATTTGTCGTGTTGTACGGGAAGGGCGTGATTGGTTGAGAAGCGACACGTGGACGGACGCGGTGAGATTGGGAGAGGCGTAGGATAGTTAAGTGAATGAGCAGATGCGTTGTGGATAATGTTTAGAAATGGGATTCCGCCGTCTTCGTTGACCGACTTTAGAGAATAGTTTTGGTGCGTCGGATGTACGTGCATTCGGTTCGATACGTTGATTTTAGATTTTATTCTTTATATCAAAAGATGGATAAGATTAGACAAGCTCAATGATTACATTAGTAATAATAAAATATAAGGGATATTTGCACAAAACGCCGTCGTAGATACCTCAACCTCGTTCTGTTTAATTATGTTAATGAAAATCCGTTATATTCTGAATGACCTTTTTGCCTTTGTTCAGCTGTTGAAAATACCGATTTTCCCACGAGAAAAATTCATAACACTCCCCAAATGAAAAGATGGTCGTCAGTAATCCAATAGCTTTGCGAAGCCTCTGGAGGCTTCGACTTTAGGCCTCACGAGAGCCACCAAACCCATTATGTACACAATGTCGTCGATTGAGGCCAAATAGGCCTTGCGTAGCAAATTGATGGTAGATCCAGCCTTTACTAGTCTCTCGGCGTTATTAGAGGTTAGATCGGTCTCTAGGTGGTAATAGAGGCAAGATCAAAGCTCTAGGCTGCCGTTGGGGTTGTTAATAAGCAAGGATTTTATGAAAGTCCTGGAAACTCAAGATACCCTTCCTTCAGGTGAAATATCAAGTTATTTAACCTTCAGTAACTTTAAAAAAATGTTAATGAAAATGAGGTTTAAGGCCACATTTCTAAGAGGAAATTTAACTCCCTAGACATCCCAAGTTTGGATTTTAAAAAATAACCTGAAAATCGAAAGCTTTTTTTTTTTTAAAAAATTTAAAAATCTGACATGGCACACTTAAATGTAACTAAGCATGCAAAAAGGGCTAGAGTGAAAAGATTGAAACGTATATGGGAATAGTAATTAAGGAAATATTTAAATTTGAAAATTATTTCGGCATAAAAGTACCCTATTTTTGGTCTATTGTTTTTCCTAAAGCTTCGTTACACAAAAATTATGGCTGATTTTTACAAAGAGGAGGAAAACTCAATCCCATCCAAATCCTAGAGTCTGGCGACAGAGATGGTTGTTCATAGAGATGGCAATGGGCCCGACATTTTCGGGTACCCGGCCCGGCCCGGCCGAAAGGGGCGGGCTTTACCCGAGGTTGGCGGGCTTGGGCTTGGGCCGGGCTTGATTTTAAGGCCCGACCTCGGGTACGGGCCTGGCATGGTGGTATATCTTTAGGCCCGGCCGGCCCGGCCCGTCTCGAAAATTTTAGTATTAATTTTACTAATTTACCCTTATACTATATATTTAATTACAATATTATCCTATATATATATATATATATATATATATAATATATATATATATATATATATATAATTATAATATATTATATATCCATTTTTCCAAACCCTAACCTCAATTTTCATCCCATATTAAAGGTTTAACATGTTAAAATTGCCTTTAAATGAGTTAGATGGGTTAGTATCACTTATTAAAGTGGATTTCACCATAACATATTATGCACAGCTGAAAAGTTAGTATAATCAACTATTATAGAGTTTTAATTGCTCACTTATTGCTTAAATTATTTGTGGAATAACTTCAATTCATATGTAAAAACCATTTCTAAAATTAAAAATATAAAAAAATTTGAAATTTATTAATATTTAAAAATAAACATTATTAAAAAAGGCGGGCTTGGGCCGGGCCTGCGGTTATAAAAAACCCGTCGGGCCGGGCTTGGGCTTTGCCTATCATACCCGTAACGGGCTCGGGCCGGGCTTGGGCCTGTGTCATGAGGTCGGGCTTGGGCCTGGGCCAAGGGGTACCCGGCCCAGGCCCGGCCCATTGCCATCACTAGTTGTTCAATGGTTGTCAAAGAAGACGCCCTAGTAGATCATCCGACGAGTGAAGGTGGTCCAGTGGTAGAAGAGACAATGGCAGCACAAGAATAGAGAGGAAAATCAAAAAATGGTTCTGAAGAGGAGGACGCGGGCGAGAATTTAGGCGAGGAGGATGACGTTGATGAAGAAAATGTACGTTTTTTACTGGTGGTTTTGAATTTGATGAAAAAATTGATTGGTTTGTGCAAATTTGGGGGATATGTAGTTGGTTTTTATTGTTATGGTGGTTGTGGCATTTTGGCGAGTAGTTGGGCGACATTGGGGGAGTGGCTTTGTTTGGGTTCCAGAGGATGGGGGAAGGCAAGGAAGGTCGTAGAGAGGTTGTTTATGGGAGGTTAGAGGGTTAGGGATGGCAAGAGGGGGAGGAATAGGGGGTTGGAGGGCTGCCCTACATATTGCAGGGTTGGCCTCGCACAGCTGCGCGTGCACAGTTGCCTATGGCTAGCCCTACAATATGCAAGGCAGCCCCCAACCTCCCATATTCCACCCTCTCTTGCCATCCTCGGCCACCTCCAGTCATGAAACCTTCCACAACAGCCTCTGTAGGGCCTGCATTGGCTTCCTTGGTCCTCTCGAAGCCAAATAACCCACTCCTCGATGCCCTCGAAGCCGATATCCCCCAAATTGGTAGTCTATTGGTTGTTTTGGTTTCTTTCTTATTTAGTTTATATCACTTGTATAGATTTTCTGAAGCGTAAATTATAAAGACTATGAGTTGGAGGTTGTAAGCTATAAGATATCGTACTTCCCCATAAGAGTGACAGTTAGGTCAAGTTGGCAAGTTTTTATGAGAATAAATAGTATTTTAGAGAAACAAAGGAAGGGTATGGACCGATTCAAAGATAGTTGTTTCGATCATTTTGTGAACAGAGAAGAAAATTGGAAGCAGGGGTTCTAGGGGTAGGGAGTGCATTATATGTTACTACACTCAGTTAAATGCCAAAGAAAAAAAAATGAAATGTGGTTCGTGGTGGATGGGAAGCCACTATATTTTTGGATGACGAAATTTGCCATTATGACAAGCTTAAGATGTGGGGCATTTCCAGATACGGAAGAGCAAGAAAGAATAACGAAGAGTAAGGCAGCTGATAACTTGGCTAAAAAGGTTTTTTCTTTTGGAGAGGGAAGGAGTCTATTACGGGATGTGATTTAAAGGAGAGGTTAGGAGAAGATGGGTATACCTCTTCGGAGAAGTTCAAGAGATGCCTAGTATGGTTTATGCATTCGATTTTAATGACTTTTGACTCAACAAAAGCCATTAATATGGATTGAGTGAAGTTTGCAAGCAACATGGAGTTCTTTAATGCTTATCCGTTGGGACGGTTATCATTTCAGCTAACCATTGAGTCTTACGTAGAAAAGACATGGTGATAAAGCATCGTCAAGCTGTCGAGAAGGATAGATCGAGCATGTACAATTTGTTTGGCTTTCCATGGGCAATGCAGGTAAATATTAATAGTTTTTTGTTATATTTTTTATATTATATGTGTTTTAATTAGGGAAATGTTAGAGGTAAAATACTCTTACAAAGAGTCTTTGTACAAAGTGATGTGGCAGCTGTCACACCACTAGTTTGTGAAAAGAAATAGTGGAATTAGTGGTGTGATAGCTGCCACATCACTTTGTACAAATACTCTTTGTAAGACAAAGAGTCTTTGTACCTATAACATTTCTCTTTTAATTATGATATGAACTGTTTTTTTACAATATAGGCTTGGATGTATAAGGCCGTCCTTTTCCTGGCTAAGGCAGGGGCAAAAGAAAACTTTGAATGAGAGACTATAATTTCTTAGGATGTTGCAGTGGCACACCAAGAAGTGTGCCCATTGGGACTATGACAAAATATAAATGGAAATTCAAACGGCTTAGTAAAGATTAAAGGATTAATCTTTTGAATATGCATTTGCTTTAAAATATGGCTTAAATTTGGTTGATTTTTTTTTCTTATTGCAGGGAGTCGTCCGTCCTTTCCTCACCCGTACTAGGGATGAAATGGGAGAGGAGTATGTTACATCGTTCACAACACTGGACGATGTAGTAGATGAGGGGATAGACCACCTAATGCGGGACCTAAAAGGGGTCACGCATGTGAGTGCAGCTGCAGGGCCACTACTTGAGAATGTGTTATAGGCCGAGAAGGATGAAGCTCCAATCTGCGGGAGGGGGGAGGAGGATGAAAAGGTTCGTATGCCTCCACACAATTGGAAAAATCGATACAACAAGAATCGATATGTCGAGGCATCGGGGTCAGGAGAATGAGGTGGTTGACCTCATAAACGGTCTCTTTGACAATTTTACAACAGTCGTTTATAAGAGGTTTGAGAAGATGGAAGAGCGGAGGAAAAGGGTGGAGAAAGTTGATAAGGTGGCGAAAAAAGTTAGTAGGGTGAAGGAGGAAGTTGGTGGGGTATTGAAAGTGGTTGAAGTGTAACCTCAGCATAAACAAGAGAGCCGAAAGAGTAAGCACGTAAAATCTCCTTGCACGGCAGTTTCGTATGGAAAGAAGAGGAAAACAAAGAAAAAAAATAAGGAAGTCCGTGAAAGTGGAGAAGCAAAAATGGAGGGTAAAAATGATGGCGGAGGAAGTGGGGAAGTAAAAATGAAGGAGGGTGAGGAGGAAGGCGGAGAAGTGGGTAAGTGAAAATAGAGGAGTTAAAGGTCGATTTTGTTAGAGTAAATGCCCTAGAGCCAATCAATTACTGTAAGAATTGCTCTATAATAAATGTTTATTTA